TAGTAGTAGTAGTAGTAGTAGTCGTAGTAGTAGTAGTAGTAGTAGTACTCGCAGGATTAGTAGTCGTTGTAGTAGTAGTACTATTAGACGTACTAGTAGTACTAGTAGTAGTAGTAGTGGTAGTAGTAGTAGTGGTAGTAGTAGGTAGTAGCATAATTGCAGTAGTAGTAGAAGTCGAAGTGGTAGGAGTAGTAATATTAGTAGTAGTAGTAGTAGTAGTAGTAGTAGTAGTAGTAGTAGTAGTAGTACTAGTAGGTGTAGTAGTCGTAGTAGTAGCAGTAGTCGTCGTAGTACACGTCGTGGTCGTAGTAGTAGTAGTAGTAGTCGTCGTTGTAAGTTTTGTAGTAGTCGTAATACTAGTAGTAGTAGTAGTAGTAGTAGTAGCCGTAGTAGTAGTAGTAGTAGTAGTAGTAGTAGTACCAGTCGTAGTAGTATTTGTAGTGGTCGTAGCAGTAGTAGTTATCGTAGTAGTCGTAGTAGCGGTGGTAGTTTCAGTGGTCGTATTGGTAGTAGTAGTAGTAGGAGTAGTAGAACTAGTAGTAGTAGTGATCGTAGTAGTAGTAGTAGCAGTAGTAGTAGTAGTAGTAGTAGGAGTAGTAGTAGTAGTGGTAGTCGTGGTGGTAGCACCAGTAGTCTTTATAGTGGTAGTATTAGTCGTCGCCGTAGTAGTGATAATCCTAGTCTTAGTCATTGTAGCAGTAGCAGTAGTATTAGTAGTAGTAGTAGTAGTAGTAGTAGTAGTAGTAGTAGTAGTAGTAGCAGTGGTAGTCGCAGTCGTAGCCGAGGTCCCTTTGTAGCAGTAGTAGAAGTATAAGTACTAATAGTAGTAGTAGTAGTAGTAGTAGTAGTAGTAGTAGTGGTAGTGGTAGTAGTAGTAGTAGTAGTAGTAGTAGTTATAATAGTAGTAGTAGTAGTAGTAGTAGTAGTAGTAGAAGTAGTAGAAGTAGCAGTAGTAGAGTAGTAGTGCTAGTAATCGTAGTAGTAGTAGTAGTAGCAGTGCTAGTAGTAGTAGTAGTAGTAGTAGTAGTAGTAGTAGTAGTAGTAGTCGTGGTAGGAGTAGACGTAGCTGTAGCCGCAGTAGTAGTAGTAGTAACAGTAGTAGCAGTAGTAGTAGTAGTAGTAGTGGTAGTAGCAGTAGTAGTCGTTGTCAGTAGTAGTAGTAGTAGTAGTAGTAGTACTAGTCATCGTCGTAATAATAGTAGAAGTAGTTCTGGGAGTAGTAGTAGTAGTAGCCGTAGTAGTAGTAGAAGTCGTAGAAGTAGTAGCAGTAGTAGTAGTAGTAGTAGTAGTAGTTGTCGTAGTAGGCGACGTCACTGTCGTAGTTGTCGTAGTAGGCGACGTCACCGTCGTGGTACTATCAGTACTTGTAGTAGTAGTCGTAATAGTAGTAGTAGTAGTAGTAGTAGTCGTCGTAGTAGTAGTAGTAGTAGTAGTGGTAGTAGAAGTCGTAGAAGAAGTCGTAATAGAAGTAGTAGTAGTAGTAGTAGTAGTAGTAGTAGTGGTAGTAGTGGCAGTGGTAGTTGTAGTAGTAGCCGTAGTAGCAACAGAAGGCGTAGTAGTAGCAGTAGTTGTAGTCGTAGTAGTTACAGTCATAGTAGTAGTAGTAGTAGTAGTAGTAGTCGTCGTAGTAGTAGTAGTAGTAGTAGTAGTCGTAGTAGTAGTAGTAGTAGTAGTAGTAGTAGTAGTAGTAGTAGTAGTAGTAGTAGTAGTAGTAGTAGTAGTAGTAGTAGTAGCAGTAGTAGTAGTAGTAGTAGTAGTAGTAGTAGTAGTATGAGTAGTAGTAGTGGTAGTAGTAGTAGTCGTCGTCGTCGTCGTCTCAGTAGAAGTAGTAGTAGTAGTAGTAGTAGTAGTAGTAGTAGTAGTCGTAGTGGTAGTAGTAAACGCAGTAGTAGTAGTGGTAGTAGTAGTAGTAGTAGTAGTAGTAGTAGCAGTCGGAGTAGCAGTCGGAGAAGTAGTCATGAGTCATTGTAGGAGTCATTGTAGTCGCAGTCGTGGTCGCCGACGTGGTAGTCGTAGGCGTAGTTGTCCCCGTAGTTTCAGTCGCAGTCCTGTCCGTAGCCGTAGTCGTAATAGTCGTCAGGGTCGCGAACTACTGGTAGTCGTAGTCGTGGTCGTAGCCGTAGTCGCATCGTGGTGGTAGGCGCAGTCGTAGTCGTAGTCGTCGTCGTCGTCGTCGGCGTTGTTGTGCGGCGGGTGCCGCCTGAAATGGTGCCCACCATTCGGTGGGACCCCAGTCTGTCGAGAACGTCGCCGAGAGGACATGTGGCTTCCAACCGCTGGGGGGGGTCTGAAGACTCATCGCGGTCAGGCTTCGGAAGTCGTCGAGCACGCCACGAAATCCGAGCCCCGCCCCCGCCTCCCATCGGTCTAGGGGAATCGACGGTTGGTGGGGGTCAGGCTTCGGATATTGCCACCAGCCCCTCCCCGAGGGGGCAGGCGAGAGCGCAGCACCCAAATTGGATGGAGACGACGACGACGACGATGGTGGGGGTAGGGTGCGCATGTCGCCGCCGAGTGTTGGAGGTTTCCGACGATGTTCTGCAGTCTTCAGCCTCGGCGAGCGCTCCCGGCAGCCGCGCAGCGCCGAGAGGCGTGCAGGGGTGCCCTGGGATCGTCTCGGACGTTTGCCAACGGGGAGCGGACAGTATGACCCGGAAGCCAGGGTCGAAGAAGAGAAAACGCTATAATCATAAACTTTTGGCGCGCCGCGCGGATTTCTCGGATTCACGCTGGGCCCCCCCCGGCGGCGCCTCCGGCGCCGCCTTTAGCGCGCTTCGCGCACTGGAGAGGGGAGTCCAGCGCACATCCAAGAAATCCGCGCGGAGCGCCAAAAGTTTGTGTTCATGGCGTTTTTGTTTTTTTTCTTTCCTATAGGGGGCAAGGTAGGGGGGGGGGGATGGGCTTCAGGGATCAGGCGATCGCAAACATGGATCAAGCGGGTGTGGATTCGCGACGGATCCTGTTTCCATGGGGAATCGCGGATTTCCGCCGCCGAGCGAGGCGGCACCAGCCGCATTTTCGGGAGGGCACCTCCCCCGATCCATGGATTTGGCGACCGCGCGCCAAAGCCATGGATCGCTAGTCCTTGCTTGCGTGCCCCCGATGGGAGGGAGCATCGAGCATCCACCTCCAATTGCTTATTCAACGCCCGGGAGCGTGCGGCTTCGCCGTCGGGGGCCTATCTCCGAGCGGTGTATAGCCGATTCTAGCTCGGTGGTTTCCCCCGCTTTGTCGTTACCTCTCGGCAGAGGGGTGGGTTATCCCAGGGAAGGTGTGGTCAGGGAGCGAGCCCAGCTTGGTGCTCACGTTTCGTGTCTCCGGGGGCCGTTCAGGGCGCTGCTCCTCCAACCCCACCTCTGCCAGGAGACACACAGAAAACAAACTCAAGCAAACGCTGACTTGCATGAAAGCAGGAGCAAGAATGGGAAGCGGAGGGGCATTTAGACCTCTGGGGATCTGTGCCGCCCCTTTTCGATCCGCCCCCCCCCCCCCCCGAGAGGTGCTGCCGCGGGCGCCCTCTCTGAGGAGGCCGCGGTCCTCCACGCCGGAGACTCCGCGAGCGGCGAGCGCGTCCACACGTCCGTGCCCTCGCTGTCGGGCGGGTGACCCACAGGGGGGGGGGGTGAAGAAGAGGGCCCTATAGTGGCCATGTGGGCCACCCGCCAGCCATGTGGGCCACCCCCCAGCCCTCGCCCGGCGCTGTCTGGATTCCGGGGTGCGGCCCCGCGGATGCGCCGAATGTCTCTGAGGTGGGGTCCTTCGGTGACAAATCACTGGAGCCTTGTACGTCCTCGTGATTCGGTCTTTGGAGTGCACTCGCGAGCGCTAGCGTCTGGTGATTGATGAGAGAGCGCGGGGTTTGCGTCGATCAGCGTTGATGTAGCGTCGATGTGGTGTCGATTCGCGTCGGTTGACGTCGGTCAGCGTCGACTCGAAAGGGCCAGCAAGATGGCATGGGTTGCTCCAACGAGTTGCCACCGAATATTGGGTCGGAGGATTTTGCCGCGTTGCCGCTGCATGCGCGGTACAGCTCGATGTGGAGCCCGATGGTCTTCACGCCGACGTCGCCGATGCATCGCCCACGTCAGCGACGCATCGCCGATGCATCGATGATGCATTGACGATGCGGCGACATCCTTCGACTCCATCTCAAGCAGTGGCGAAGCGTCCTGGCCCGCCTATAGGCCTACCAAATAATGTTCTAAGCACATTTCGTTGTCTCCACGAAATGTTCTTAGAACATGTATGGCTGGGACTGTCTTTTTAACATATCGGGTTTAGGTTCGAAGGACATTGTTTGGTTATTCGAACAGTTGGGTTCTGAGAACATTTCGTGGTAGTCCTACAGGAATGCCGGGACGGGCGGTCCCTGCTCAACCATCTACTCTGACCCACCTGGGAGGCCTCTGGATGCGCAGCCTTGTAAAGACGTTCGGCGCACGGCATCCGCCCAAAGGCCGCTCTGTATCCGTGGGGCCGCGACCGACGGGTTTGGACCGCGAGGCTGTGGGCATGAAGAGCATGAGGAGGGGGAGGGGGAGGGGGAGGGGGAGGGGGAGAGGCACCTCCTCAGTCATCTTCTGGTGTGGTTTTCTCACTCCGCGGCCGCAGAGGCCCCGACCCCTCCCCAAGGGTGAGCTCTTCGCCCTGCACCCACTCCAGCTGGCCCCGAGGCCCGGCAACGGGCCCCGAATGGATAAAACTGTCATGCCTGGGTATCGGCAGCTACAGACAAACGTATGTTTATGTCTTCTCTCCCTCCCTCATCAAAATTATTTTCTGGCCGAACACGAGGAGCACTGCCTGGATCGAAGCAACGATTACACCACAGGCTGACATTTTGGGCTTCCCGCCTGCCAGGAGACCGCGCGGAAGCTGCTGAAGAAGTACCCCTCGCGAGTGCCCGTCATCTGCGTGCACCCTGGGGCCTGCGGAGCCTCGCCCCGCGGCCAGGGGCGCGTGGCGGGCGCCCGGAAGATGCTGGCGCCGCGCAAGATGCTATGCTCGGAGCAGGGGGGGGGGAACCACTCTCAAGGGGGGGGGATGGGCTGCAGGGGGTCGGGTGCGGAAAAGGGGCCCTTACCGCAACCCGTTCCTCGTGATTCCTTTTTTGGGCCTCCTGGGAGGCCCTCGTCGCCACAATCTTAGTCAGTATGCACCACAGGCAAGGTCCAGGGAGTAGCGGTCTCGGTGCCTTTTGCTTTCCCCAAGGGGGGTCCATGGAGCCCCGATCGCCACATCGACCGCCGATGGGCGCCCGATAGCCCCAGGCTTCCCAGGACCGTGCGGTGCCGCTATCAAGGATCTCTCGCCGTCTCCAGGCCCATGCTCTCCGCCCTGAGACGGTCCTCCCCCTACAGCTGCTAAGAGACCCTGCTGGCCTCCAGGGTGCCTTGGGTTTCTCAGGTTTCGATGGCTGTTTGCGATGGAGAGCGCGGCGTGTGCCCACACCAAAAATCCATCGACTTCCTGTGGAAGGCGGGTGGTCGAGCTCCTCCTCCTCCTCCTCCTCCTCCTCCACCCTCCTCCTCCTCCTCCTCCTCCTCCTCCTCCTCCTCCTCCCGAGCTCCCACTGCAGGAGCTGAGGGACGTGATCTGCAGGCAGCTGGCCGTCGACTTGGGCGGCCAGGGCGCCTCGCCGCGGGCGGACCTGTTCGCCAGGAGCACCAGGCTCGAGCCGGGCAGCAGGGTCGAGGAGCTTCCTCCTCCTCCTCCACCACCCTCCTCCTCCTCCTCCTCTTCTTCCTCCTCCTCCTCCACGTTCCTCCTGCTCCTCCTCCTCCTCCTCGTCCTCCTCCACCCTCCTCATCCTCCTTCCTCCTCCTCCTCCTCCTCCTCCTCCTCCTCCTCCTCTTTGACTCTGAAGTGGGTTCGGACCAGGTTTGGGGAAGGGAGGCGCGTCATCTCAACACCACCAGGGGGCCACCTCCAGCGAGGAGGTTCATGATGCCTTCCCTAGAGCGACAGTGGGGACCACACCACCAGGCGGCGGACCTGTTCGCCAGGAGCACCAGGCTCGAGCGGGGCAGCAGGGTCGAGCTGCATGGGGCCCGCTCATTGCGCACGGCCACCGTGCCTCGACGTCCGACAAGTGGTGTCGTTCGGTAGCAAGTCGTGGAAGCCTGGTGTACCCTCTGAATTCCGTCTTTAGCGTCAACTAGTGTCGATGAGCGATTGGGAGTCGATGAGGTAGCGCCGATGAAGCGTCGGCTAGCGTCGATGTAGCATTAATCTAGTGTCGCTTAGCGTCGACTAGCGTCAGCCAGCGTGGATTCGCAAGAGCCGACAAGATCGTATGGGAGGTTCCCATAAGTTGCCACCGAAGGGTCGAAGTAGATGGGGTCGGAGGATCGCGCCGCATCGCTGATGCATTGGCGATGCGGCGCGATCCTTCGACCCATCTACTCCGACCCTATCTGGGAGGCCTCTCGTAGGGAAACTCTCCTCAGATGATGTGAACAACGTTGGGGGCGGATTCTTTTCGTTTTAAATTCCCCCGTTTGGGGGCCAGATGTTTTCCGTTGTGGGAGTCTTGTTCGTGCCGTTTTCGGTGCGGTTCAGTTCTTATGCAGCTCTGCTGTCTTTTTCGTTCCCCGCTTCGGGGCTGCCATTTATCGCCGTCGCGGTGGACCGAACACCGAAAAGCAGTCAAGGGAAGTCAACGACGCCCCCAGAGTTTGCACCATCAAACGAAGGGCATCTTTCCAGTCAACCCGCATAGCAAGGATGAGCAGTCTTCCCAAGGGCACCCTTGCATCCTTGCCCCTCCGGCCCATCCTCGGCCACTTTCGCTGGCCAACCTCGCTCGAACAGCGTTAACCTGGCCCCTCCAATGATGGGCCTGTACTCCACCACCACCACCGCCACCATGGGTTGGGAGGGGCACGGAGGTGGAGGAGGAGGAGGAGGAGGAGGAGGAGGAGGAGGAGGAGGAGGAGGAGGACCCCCTCCAACTTCAACTCATGGTGGTGGTGGTGGAAAACAGGCCCATCATCCAAGGCCCTGGCATCCTTGCCGCGCACCCTTCTGCTACGGGCGCGCAGCCGCCGAGGACGCCTTCGAGGAGCTCCGGGCCGAGGACGGGCTCCTCTACGTCTCGCTGTCGCCCGGGGAGGCGGGCCCCGCGGCGCCGAGGCCGGGCGGCGAGCGGCCCGGCGCCGAGGAGAGCGGCGCCGGCGCCGCGGCGCCGAGGTCCAGGGGCCCGCCCTGCGCCCCGACCTCGGGAGACTCGAGCTCCTGCTCCTCCTCCTCCTCCTTTTCCCCCCCCCTCCTCCTTTCCCCATCCGCCTCCTCCTCCTCCTCCTCCTCCTCCCCTCCTCCCCTCCTCCGTTTGCTCATCCTCCTCCTCCTCCTCCTCCTCCTCCTCCTCCTCCTCCTCCCCGCTCGGGTGTGGCCAGAAGTGCCCCCGGCCCAAGGTGCCCCTGGCCCAAGGTTTGCGGACTCGGGGTTCGAGGAGTTTTCGGGCGGTTTCGTTGGTCCACGTCGGCTTTCCAGCCTCGGGATGCCTTCCAGCGGCTGCGCCTCGCCGAGGGCGTTCAGGGGATGTCGGGATCGTCCCGAGCGGCCGCCCGAGACCCGAGTTATGACCCGAAAACCGTCAAGGTCCGGGTGTTGCCAGAGGTGCTCCTGGCCCAAGATGCCCCCAGGATTTCCAAGGAGGCCCACACTTTGTCCGCACAGCTAAGCTGTCAACATAGCGCAACGTAGCCCGACTGTATTATTTAATCTGCAATTTTTCCCATCCAGTGTCCTACGCACCTCCGGGTGTATGACTTCTTGCTTGCTTGCTTTCCCCCACGGCCTCCAGAGCACCCCTCACGAGGCCCGGAGGACCCCCCAGGGGCTCCAACATGGGGCGGAAAGCTGGGGATACCGCTGCATGGCCGACGTCGCCGATGCATCGCCGGTGCATCGGCGATGCCCCGCCGACGCATCGGCGGTGCGGTGCGATCCTGCGGCCCCATCGGCGTCGCCTCCCCGAACGCTCCAGGGGTTGCTCGGATCGTCCCGATCGGCCGCCGGACAGCCGAGCTATGCCCCGAAATCGGAGCCGAAGAGACGGGGTCAGTGCAAACGGGAGTCAGCCAGTGCATCGGATCCTGCAGGATCCTGCGAAGAGCCCCTCTGGCTGACTCGGGTTAGCGAGCCCCTCGTGACCGCGAGGCGGCCGCGCATATTGGCTGACCCGGGTTTGCGAAGACCTGCGCTGCAGTTTTTTGTCCTGCATTGCAGTTTTGTGGTTTCCTGCTGACCTGGGTCTAGATTGATCGGGACCAGAAGATCCCCGACCGAAAGCTAAGGGGCAACGTTCGCGGGATAGTCTCAGGGGGGGATGCATCGACCCCCAATCGCCCAATCATCGATGAGGGACCGATGGACCTATCCCGCCGCATGTCAGCTTGTGATTGTTGAATTGTCCCCCCCAGGGCTGATGAATAGATCCTGCTGGGCGCGAAACATCCTTTTGAATCACGAGCGCCAGGTGGTCGTCGCGGGCGCCGCCGAGGGGATCGTGTACCCCCTGCACGGCAGCCTCAAAACGATTTTTTGCTTGTGCAAAAAAATAAGAAGAATAGTAGTTGTAATGTGGATCGCAATCATCCGCGTGAAAATTTTGCCCCTCTCGGGCTGACAACTGATGTGCCACAGTCGTGGTGCCATCGTCGTCGTCGCCGCCGTCGTCGTCGTCATCGTCGTCGTCGGGTTCGTCGTTGGTCGTCGTCATCGGTCGCGGTTGTCGTCGTTGTCGTTCGGTGTCATCGTTGTCGTCGTCGTCGTCCTCGTTTACGTCGTCGTTTACATCGTCGTCGTCGTCGTCGTCGTCGTCGTCCGTCGTCCGTCGTCCGTTGTCCGTCGTCCGTCGTCCGTCGTCGTCGTCATGGTCGTCGTTGTCGTAGTCGTCGTTGTCGTCGTCGTCTTCGTTGTCGTCGTCGGCGTCGTCGTCGTACAACGGGCCTTCGAAACGTTCCCCCCCACCTCCGCAGTGCGTCGTCGTTGTCGTCCTCGTCGACGTCGTTTTCGACATCGGCGTCGTCGGCGCAGCATCCCCCCATGGAGCATCCGAAATGCGGTGCCGTCGTCGTTTTCGCCTACGTCGACCATTGCAGCGGGCATGCGCAGCACACCCGCCCCCTCCCTGGAGCAGCCGCAGTGCGTCGTCTTCCGCCGTCGCCATCGTCGTCGTCGGAAGAGGAGGGTGAGGAGGACATACTCTGTTGGAGGGGCAGGGGCGGGGTGGAGAAGGACAAAAAAAAACTCTTTCCGCTTGTCTTTGCCGCTCATCCTCCCTTTTTCCCGTTCTTGTTTGCAGCCATTTCGGCACCGCCCGCTCGCTGAGACGCGTCTTCCCCCCGTCTCCTTATTCCCAGCTGTCTGTAGCCATTTTGGCCCAAACGCCCCACTGTAGCGGAGGCGCTGCCGCCCCCCTCCGCCGGAGCGGCGCCGCTTGCGTCGCGCGTGTCGCCATCTCGTTGGCGGTTGGGCGTCGGCGTTCATTGCTGGCGCCGCTGCCGTGTGTTTCCATTTGGCGGGGGCCCCCTCCCCGCGAAAGGTTTTTTTTTTGGGTCAGGCGCCCCAGGCGTTTCATGAATCGCATGCTGACATCCGGAGCGCGCGCATTCGCTATTAGGGGCCTATCGCCGATCCATCGGTGACGTATCCATGGCTCCAGGTCGATGCCCCCCCCCGCGCCAGACCCCCACCCCAGTTCGAGCCCAGCCCTCCAAGAACTCGAGCGTCCCCGAACCCACAAACATTTCCAGTCAGTGTGTGTGTGTGTGTGTGTGTATGTGTGTGTGTGTGTGTGCGTGCGTGCGTGTGTGTGTGTGTGTGTGTGTACGGATCGTCGAGGCGACGTTTTTTTTTGGGGGGGGGGGAGTAGAGGGGGAGGGGCTTTCCCCCGCTTTCGGTTCCCAAAGGCCTTCGCCAGGCACTTGGATCATCCAGGGAGAGAAATTTGCCTTATGGACAGGGCTGGGTCGTTTAGAGTTGTTTCTGTGATGTTATATATACGAACGTAAACATACACATTTCCATGCGTACATACATACATGCATGCATACATACATGCATACATACATACACACGTTCATACACACATGCGTACATACAGACATATGGTAAACACCATATCGTAAAACACCAGCAACACACATCGGCATTATGGGGTTCCGCCTATCCGATTATTTTAGCCCCGGCGTGTTTGTGCAGCTTCGTCGGCCGGCGATAGTGGTCGGGCCCCCGGCCGACGAAGCTGCAGGGGGCAGTGGACTGGGGGCAGCGGGCTGGTTCGAAGGGGAAAACGACGAGGAGGACGAGGAGGAGGAGGAGGACGAGAAGGAGGAAGCAGACGAGGAGGAGGAGGAGGAGGAAGAGGAGGAGGAGGAGGAGGAGGACGAAGAGGAAGAGGAGGGGGAGGAGGGGGAGGATGATGAAAAGGACGAGGAAGAGGAGGAGAAGGAGGAGGAGGAATAGGAGGAGGACGAACAAACGGAGGAGGAGGAGGAGGAGGAGGAGGAAAAGGAGGAGGAGGAGGAGGAGGAAGGGGATGAGGGGAAACAATAAGGAAGAGCAGGAGGAGGAAAGGAGGAGGAGGAAAAGATCCGTGGCCATTTTGGCTCAAGCGGGAACAGGCCCCATGCGAGCGGGCAGTTCTGCGTGTTGAGCTTTCTTGCGTGTCAAACGCAGGCGAACTTTTTTCTCTCATGCTTTCTGCGCCTGGTCAGCCCCATGTGCCACCGCAGGCACGGCGTTCGCTCACATCCTTCAGTCTTTGCGATGCCCGATGCAGGTGTTGCTCTTCCTGGTGCAGGCGCTGCTGATCGGTCTGTCGCTGTTCGTCGCCCCGCGCCAGCTGCTGAACGGCCCGCGCAAGCCCCTCGCACAGAAGCCGCAACAGGGTGGCAAATAAGGCAAAGGGTCTGCCTCGGCTGCCGCTGATCCTCGTGCTCTTGCTGCGGATGGTGGTCGCATGCCTCCGCCAGCGCAGGTTGAGGAATATGCACACCTACTCGCCCCCCCCCCCGACGACCCCAACGAACTTGAGGTCCTCCGCGCCTGCGTCGACGTTGCCAAACGTAATGTCATGTCGGCCATCGCCAGAATGCATAAGGGAATGTCATACCTCACCGAGACCTTCACCTCCCATTGCACCTCCGTCGAGCGCACGGTCGTGGCCCGCGGGAGCGAAGGCTGGACACTCACGACGCAAAGCTGGTAACCGTGGCTGATGAGATCAAGCAGCTACAGCAATTACATCATGTGGTTCGTACGGAGACGCCGCCCACAGAGCAGCCCAGTGTTGCATTCCATCGCAAGACGGATCTCGCCTTCCTCGTCGTCGGTACGGCAGCGATGGTAGCCAAAGAAGTAGATTGTGAAGGCTTGGCAGAGTGGCTTGCCGCTTCGAACTTCGAGCCAGGCCCTTGGACGGTCGAAGGCGGGCTTGCTAGCCAAAGATTCACGGTCAAGGTTAAAGGAGCCCCTGGATGGGCAGCTCGCATGGTCTCGCAAGCGCGCGGCAACATAAGAAAGCCAGATGGCACATTCCGCAAGTTCACGGCCTTCTCCGCTCAGCATCAGATCGCGGATATGCACGTCTCGGCAGGCATGAACCTGGCACAGATTCGGCAGGAACTCGATCTCAAGGAAATCAAAAATAAGCTCAGTGACGTCTGCCCGAACCGCACCTTCTTCGCCGATCGAATCACAGCTAATATTTCCTCCCAGTGGCGTGCCTTCATCAAGGGCACCCCACGCCAGAACGAGAGGCTCGTCGTCGAGTACGACCAGAAAGCCATCGACGCCCTCGGCCTCCGCAAGGCAGACCTTGTGGAGATGGTCGGCAAGATCTTCTTGGCACCTGATGCTGAGGAAGAGCCGGGCCTTTAACCTAATATTCAAGTTGGCGAAGCTGCCCAGCGGATCGGCAGCCGCCTGCGCGCCCGGCCTTGGGTTTACTTTTTTGGTTTGCGAGAGCGCGGTTCCATCGCAACCCAATTTCGCAGGCCCGTCAGCTCCAGTACCTACGTCAGTTCTTCAAGGGTTTCAAGTATGGTGGCGACTCAAGAGTCGCACGGGAGCCTCGATGACGTTTTGGATTTCTTGCGCATGTCGAGTTCAAAGTTTGAGTTCCAAGCTTCGTTCTTCGAGGACTCGCGGAGGAGGGGTGGCGTCGTCGCTTTTTTCCCGAA